GAGGCGAGGGAAGCAACGAGGTGATGACAGAGCCGCCAAGGAACAAATGGGAAGAAGCAGGAAGGCTACAGAGGATGCTGGCGGCAGAAAGAGAGAAACACATCAGACTGCACCAATTTTGTGAGTAGTGGACAGGCTAGTGAAGTGATATTGAGAAATGAATTGAGTCAGGAAATACAAAAAATGTTTCAGCTCTTGGCGAACTTAGGAAAGAAATTAGAAGTGTTTGATGTGGTAGTCAGTCACCGAGATGAACTAGTAATAGACAATGAAGCAGGACAAGAGAGGAAAGAGGTGAAGGTTCAATCTCAGAAAAAAAATAGACAGTAAAATTTGTATAAAAGGTAGAGAAAGAAAAATAAAAGGATAACACAGTAAAATAAATAACACGTGAGACCGTTAAAAATGTGCCATAAAAATATAAAAATTTCTAAAAAATGAGAATATGTGCAACAGAATGAGAAGACTGAAGGTAACCATAGTCTTGGAATATCAATGGCTTGAGTTCCAGACATCCATTATTTTGTTTTAAAGAATAATATTAACATTATCACTATTCAAGAAACGCGGGATAGAGATGGAAATTGATGGATATAGAGGGCTTCATCTATATTCAACAGAGTAGGTTAGAGATGTATCGACTTATATTAAAAACAAACAAACAAACAAAAAAACTCAATAACAGTAGAATTAACTGAAAGGTGTTTGTTCAAAGGTGTATCATAAAGAAGAAGAAATTCATTTTCTGACTGTGTTTAATAACTCAACACTAGATGGCGATTTTAATGCCCGGCATCCAAGGTTGGAAAATATGGGAAAAATAAATAACAATGGAGTCAAACTAATCCAATTTTTGCAGGATTTACCAATTGCAACATCATTAGGGAATAACAGTGCAACGCATATCAAAGGAAGATGGCTGGACTATGCTTGCTTGATAAGCAGTCACGGAATTAAAGGTGACTGCGAGGTAGTTGACATTGTGAGCGATCACTTGGCTTTGTTTATTAACCCAATCGACCCATTTGGCAAGAATACATGTCATGTCCATTGTAATACAAGTTTATTCATTGTATTTGCACATAGATGGCTCTACAAGTTCTTAATCACCAAATAGCCAGTAATTAGAATTATTTCATTCACATTAGGAAAGGGTCTTCTGTATCATATCATTGTCTAAAAGTTTTTAATGACAATTTATTAATCATAACATCAATACCAATAATAACAGTAACGGTAATAATTGTGTTAATAAGAAAAACATATTTTCCCGCCAATTCAAGGAATGAGGAAATCA